TTCTGAACACACCTCTCTGAACTGCAATATTTCTATTGGGAAGTCACTGCTGCTTTCTGTATCTGGGAGCAATGCTGGGCACCTGACTGCCTGTCTGGGTGAGAAGAGTGAAAGGAGCTGCCTGCACAGGACTGAGGTGCCCCAGGAACCTCAAATCCTCTGCTGTGAGAGAAAAGAAGGATGGCAAGAAGGAAAAGAAGTGTAAGGAGCAGAAGGCAGGCACTGTTCATAATGGCTCATTTTAATCCTGATCTAGCCCAGAATTTCATCTGTCCCAGTCTCTGTGCAAAGAGCAGAGAAGTGTGAGGTTGTATCAGTAACATTCACCATCCAGGCTGTAAGCCCATGCTTTCTAGAACACCAGTTCCCAGGGGAGCCTCCAGCCTCTGCACAGTGACAGTTAATGGCACAGTAACTTCTGCTCTGTTCTGTCCTTGTCACATCGGAGCTCGGGTCACAAGGAAGAGGTAGGAACGGGGCAGGACTTTGAGTGTGGGCAGAAAAAACTGCAGATAAATAGTTTGAGCAGAGCTCTGGAGAATATTCTTTGTGAATGAACACACCAAGATGCTTTGTCAGGAGCCACGAAAAGAACCATACGTCCTCCAATCGTTTAATGGGAGCAATAATGATCTCTAACACAAGTGAATTGAGCAAGCCTTGTGCGAGCACATGGAAGATGTTCAGGGTTTTATTTACGTGAAAGAGGGCTTTGCATGGGAAAGAATTTTCCTTGTGTTTTTCTCCTGTTTGATTCTGAATATGGAATTAAGGTTTTCCCTTACAGCAATAATAGCCACTCTAAGGAAACATTCTTCAAGTCCCCTCCTGGGGCTGACATTTCTTATCATATACACACAAACACACAGGAACATGGAATGGGAGAAGAATTCTGAGAGGGTGCACGTGAGCTCAGAATGCAGGATGCAGAAAGGTGGGAAGTTAAAATGGAAGAAAAAGCATTTGCATTGAGCATAACACAGCTCATGTCTGAGGTACCTTCCTAATTAGCCTCTTAATTCATTGCCAGTAGGGTTGCTCACTTAATTTAGCAACAAATGGGGGAAATCGTGCACGAGGAAATAATTTCACTGCTTCATTTAATGTTTGTAGTTCACCCCATTAAATGTCTGATGCACCAGCTGTAATTTTTTGTCTTTTACAATTATTAATAATAATTGCAATAGTTGCAAGCAATCTCAGATGATGAACTTTGGGAATTGCACAAAAAAGCAGCACGCTGGCTTTTCCCTGTGCACTGTAGTGGGCACACTCACTCCCTGCACACTCACAGGAGGCCAGGGCTCCTCCTTCCTCAGCCACGTGTGGTGTGTGAGCCTCACTCTGTCCCTTCAGTGTAAGCACTGTGTGGGAAGTCCGGCTCTTGCTGCTCAAATTGCTCCTATTTAGAGCCTGTTTACTGTCCCAGTAGCTGTCTGCTCATCAGACAGCTCCAGCTCCCTGAGTAGACAGGCACATAATTACACAGAACTGACCTCAAACTCCTCTTCCTTACCCTACATTAGTTGAAGGACGTTCAGGCTGTGGAATAAAAAGTCATTCCCAAAGAGAAGCAAGCTACAGCCACCGACCTTTCAGCAATCCAGTCAGTCTAACTGCAGACGTCCCATTTTCATCTGCAGTAAATGTTTAGCAAGTGAAACCTATAATGATAAAACTACTCTCACTGCGAGAGGGAAGCAGTGAGTCAGCATTAAAAATGAAACTTCGGGTCCCCAGATAAGAATGCTATAGAACTACACAGCCAACAAAACAGCAATGTTAATTTTCCAGATGTATCGGTATTCACAGTAATTAGGAAGTTCCTTTGGTCAGAGCAGGGCAGTTTGCAAAGTTCCACCTCGGACAGAAAGCATCGCAACCCCTCTGGAGCTCCTCACAATTACACAACACGGAAGCAGGAAACAAAACAAAATATACTTTATTAAAATTAAGCATGTTAGCACCTCAGTGTAACCTGGAGAAGTCGAACAGTCCAGCAGTTAACCAGTCCAGCGGGCTAAGTGGCTGAACATCCTGAAGTGCATTCCAATGGTAAAAAAGTACCATGACTGTTAAAACGCGTGTGTTCTCAAGAAGCTAGGATGCACAAATGGTCTCGTTTGTAAGGAGAGACCTTGTGCTGCCTATTGTCTTGATGGGAGCATAGATCTGCTGGACCAATTACATATGCTAAATCAGATAGGGTAGCGGGTGTCTGCTTTCCCTACCACCCCCTCCCCCCCAAAAAAAACAAAACAAAACAAACTTGCTGCTTACTTGACTTGCAGGAAAATCAGTACACGGCAGAGCTGAAGTTAGAGCTACATATCAGAGAAAATAAATTAAAATGAAAAGAACAGGAAATACTTAGTACATGAATAGACCTGTAGTATCCTCACAGTCAACCATCCAACTCAGTACACACAGCAATAAAGAAATGACCCATGCATCACATAGCAGGCTCTGACAACCAATGCCTTCAGCTGAACTGGCTACATGATCAACAGATAAACCTCCAGCTAACAGCTGCCAATGTGCCCTTTTGTTCCCTCCTACAGAGGGCATTGAAACCCACGGTTGGAAAGCTATGTTAGCCAGCGTTACAAAGATTACAATATTTTCAAACCAAAGATACTTTTTACATTTAGAAAATACTTATATAAAACGTAGTAAAATCGACATCTCGATCTACTAAGTGTAACACATTCCAAGTACAGGAAGATGATCTCACAGACCCAGAAGCCACCTGGGCACTCCCTCAAAAGTAATTATGGGCACACTGTGGTGAACTGCCTTTTGTTTCCCAACATACATAATAGTCAAGCTGTGCCCCCCCCCCCTCAATCCAAGTACGCATGGAGACGGAGTCAGAGCGGCACGCCAAATGCCCTCCTCCTGGAAAGCACCAAGGGCTCCATTCCATGGCTCAGTCCAAGCTCATCACCTCACACCCCTCATTCCACAGCCTTCTGGCCAACTTCCATTTGGTTTCCTGTTGCTGAATGCGAGGGGACTAACGCTGGCTAGAAACAGAAACTACACGATCATTCCACGTAAATTTGTTACAATACTTTTAAATCTTGGTTTAAAACACGCAAGCACATTTCATTAAGGTCTTACCTAAGGTACAGATTATTAGTCATGCCAACTAGGTTAGGATTAGACAGCAAGGGTTTGCAACCACTGCAGATACGTTTGCTTCACTTTGGCTTCACCCCAGTTCGCTGAACGAAAGCCAAGGATTTAAATTCCGACGTGTTACAAAGCCTGTGTTTCACGAGAGGGAGTTCTTAAGCCACTGGGATAAACTACAGACATCAAATGCCACCAGATTCTTTGTACCAGGTCACAATCCTTGCTAGTGTTGAGAGCAGAGACAACTGTAACAAATACGTATGTACTGCTGAGTAAGCCAAGCCTATATGAGCACTCTTAAATTTTGGGATTCTTTCACACTAGAAATGGCAGTCTTTTATGGCATCAGTAATTTACTGAAGAAACACATCACCCTGAGAGGGTTTTCTAAAGCTTTCCTCACGCCTTTGCTAAGCAAGGCCAAGCAAAACATCGTTGTTTGTTCCTATGGTGGGTACAGTGGCAACCATGCTTTCAGGCGTGCCTTCTCCAGGGGGTAGCGTTCCTGCCACCTCAACTGAGCGCAGTTTATTTGCTGAAAACCAACACCCTACATCCACTTAGTGGTGACACGGGGTCCCAATGCCCTAAATGAGAACAATTTCAAACTACACAGAGGATGCCAGCGGACTTGGTGTAGGCCAGAGGTGTCTCTAAGAGGAAGCTGTGTTTGTAACAGCATTCCTCGGCAACTCCTGAATCCGGTGGGTTTGCATGTGGGTAAGCGAGGCCACGGCCCATGGCGGCCCTGTCCCGGGGCAATGGAGGCTCAGCGTTCAAGCAGGGCCCGGCCGTGCCCCGGGAGGAGTCGGCCGCCCTCAGAGCCCATGGCGCTTTCGGGCCCCGACGCTGGCGGCATGGAGCAGCCGGTCTTTCTCTCGGATCTCCTCGCGGAGCTGGGCCTCGGCCAGACGCAGGCGGCGGATGCTGCCCTTCATCTCCTTCATCTTTACCTCCAGCAGAGCGATGATGTCACGTTGCTCGTTCAGTTTCCTCAGCAGCTCCTCCGACGTGGTGCCGGACGACAAGGAGTACGAGTGGTCCGGCGGGCCGCCTTCCACGGGGCCTTCCTGACCTACCGGCAACCAGCAGGGGCCGGGCCCGGCAGCGGCGGCCCCGAGCTCCACCTGCACCGTCAGGTCGATGGGCTTCACGTCCTCGGCCGCGCCCCCTACCGGGGCCTCGGCGGCGGGGCCGGGGCCCTGCGGGGCGACGACGACGGTGGCGGCGGCGGCGGAGGCGGCGGCGGGGCGGGGGCGGCGGGCGGCCCGCGCTGCTTTGCGCTCGTTGACGCCGCGCAGCGGGAAGATGGTGGGCACCCGCACCAGGTAGGACTTGCGGCCGCCCTGGAAGTGCTCGCTGCAGACCCGGTGGCCGGTGGTGGGCTGGAAGGTGCTGAAGCAGCCGCTGACGCCCGCCCGGGAGACGTTCTTCAGCCAGAGGCGCCTCAGCTCCTCGTCCTTGGGGAAGGTGTAGAAATGCAGCGCCTTGTCGCGGTGCGAGTTGTTGTAGCAGCCCGGCACGCAGCAGGTGAAGCCCGGCATGGCGGGGGTCCCTCGGGGCGCGGACGCGGGCCCCCCGCCGGACTACAGCTCCCACAAGGCCAACCGCGGCCTCTTGCCGCTCGCCGACGCCGCCCGCCCGGGCCGCACCGGAACTACGCGGCCCACAATCCAGCGCGGGGAGCGGGAGGCCGAGCGCCGCCTCAGCGCCGCGCCGGAACTACGCGCCCCACACTGCGCTGCGCTTCAAAACTACCGTTCCCGGCGTGCCCCGCGGCGTGGCACCTCCCGTCGGGCGTCGCGAGATCTCGCGAGACCGCGCCGTGCGCGCGCGGCTTTCGACGCGACGGTTATCTGAGGGCTCCGCCATGGCCGGCAGGGCCGGGCTCCGAGCCGATCGCGAGGCGGTCCGCACCCCAAGGGTCGCTGTCAGGGCGTCTCCGAGGCACCGGGCTCGGGTAAAGGAGCGGGAGCCCGTCGTGTCCGCTGCGGTACGAGAGAGCTCTTTATTCATCTCTTTCTGGGCGGTTGTGGCGGGGCAGAGGGGAGGTGAGCTTGGGGTTGCTGTCTGAGAGGCGTTATTTCGAGCCGAGCTTCGAGGGCGGGATTGTTTTCAGCTGGAAGCTTTGCGAAGTAAAGTTGCACAGTTTCCTCATAGGAATCTGGGATAGGTGTGCTATAAGCCATGTTCGGCTTTTATTTGAAGGTAGATACGGGTGATTTTAATGCTAAAGTGCATCCCTGCCGCGGGTCGTTGAGCTGCGTGTTTTTGGTGTCTGTTCTCAGAGCGGATCTGGCTCAGGGAAGGAGAACAAGGCCGGCAGCAGCACCCCGCTGAGGTACAGGCCCAATGCCTTGTCTGAGCTGGACAACGCCACGCCGCGCCTCATGCTGAGGAGGATCATCCAGAACCGTGAGCAGATCCCTGTTCTTAGCAAAGCATCGAGTAGAAGTGCAGCAAATGGCAGCTGTGCAAGATTATCAATGGGGAATCAACTCTTTGAAAGGGTTGATAACTGCAGGACAAGGGAAGATGGTTTGAAGTTGAGGGAGGGGAGATTGAGGTTGGATGTCAGGGGGAAGTTGTGTACAATGAGAGTGGTGAGGTGCTGGAACAGCTGCCCAGAGAGGCTGTGGATGTCCCGTCCATCCCTGGAGGTGTTCAAGGCCAGGTTGGATGGGGCCCTAGGCAGCCTGGGCTGCTATGAAATGTGGAGGTTGGTGGCCCTGCATGTGGTGGAGGGGTTAGAGCTTCACGATCCTTGAGGTCCCTTCCAACCTGAACCATTCTGTGATTCTGTTATGCCATGCAGCTTCAAACACCAGGTCTTCCATTGATGAAAAGTGTTGAAGGTTATCTTTGTTGTTTTTTTTTTCCCCTGGCAGCCCCAGTGCTGCCTGCTGCCCTGAGATGTTGTGTAAGGTGCAGAGGTGCTTGCTGCTCATAGTGGCAAACCAAAGCTCTGTAGATGGTGGAACGCTGATGCTGCCATTTGTCAGCGTTGGTTTGTCAGCCTATGTGCCAGCTCTCCTAGGAGGGGAATCCAAATGCTTTGCACTTGGTCTTTGTTTTAACCTGTCCATAAACGTAATTTTAAGAGCATAGTGTGGTTTTGACACTTTCACGGAATCACAAAATTGTGGGGGTTGGAGGGGACCTTTAGAGTATCACAGGAAAACATTCAGGTCTTGAATAGAGAAAGAGACTTCTCCACTTCCCTAGGCAGCCTCTTCCAGCACTCTGTTGCCCTCACAGTAAGAAAGTTCTTCCTTGTGTTGGTATACAACTTCCTATGTTCCAGATTCTGCCCATTGCCCCTTGTTCTCCCCTTGCTGCACACCACTGAGAAAGTCAGCCCCCACAGATTTGATGCCTGCATTTTAGATACTTGTAGCTCTGAGACTCCTTCTCAGCATTCTCTTCTCTAGACTGAAAAGTCCCAGGCTGCGTTTTGACACTGTTTCCAGTTTGAGATGTGGAAACCAGAATGTTTGGTTTTGTTGACAGAACCACAAGTGTCACCTCTAGCACTTCAGACAGTTAAGTTGGAAGAAAGAGAAGATGCTCAACCAGAGCCTCCATCTCAGAGGACTTCTAGCACGTGAGCACTTTGATTTTTGTTTGTTTGTTTGTTTTTTTACACTACCAAATGTAGCTGCAGTTTCTTTTCTGCTGGAATTGAGGAGCAGGATTCCTTCTGTTTCAGCAGTCAGGTTTGTGTTTTGTGATTTTCAGAAGTAATCTTTTCAGCTTTAAAAGTACCAAAAGTACACTGGGAGTGAACAGTAGATACCTCGTGTTTGTACTAGTCCTCCTTTTTAAATGCAGACTTTTAATAGCCTTTTACAGTGGAAGTGCTTGCTGGATACAAAAAGTCTTCTGATGGAAGTCTCTGCTAAATTTTCTATCATAGAGGCTACAATAAAAGCTCTTGGATCTTTGCAAGTCTCCAGGCTGTGTGCTGAAGACACTGGGGCGTAAAGTGTGGGAATGACTGACTGCTCTCTCTTAGGTTCAGAAAACAGGTTGCTGCTGTTGTTTCTACAGTGTCACTGCTGCTTCTTGTCCCTGTACTGGGCTGCTGTGGGGTTACTTGCTCTCCTGTAGGGTGGTTTGCAGGTGGGATTTGCACAAAGTTCATGTGCTTTTGTTCATGTTCAGCTTCCATTCTGCTACAGGCCTGAGCCTTCCACTGTAAAATCAAGCAAAGCTGCTAGTGGTGGGAGGTAGTCATTTGCTCTGACCACTTTAGGCACTCATCTGCATTTTTGTTTACTGCAAAATAAAGTAACCTGTTATAAATAGTGTGATTTTTATAGCTGAACTTTTGCATTGCCAGTAAACAACTTAAAACAGGTCCTGTAAAATACTAAGCAAACTTCTGTCTGCTCTTTTGATAGAGGAAGTTTGGGTTTGCTGTGAGTGCTGTAACTTCATTCCTTTCTAAAAATCAAACCAGATGAGTAGTGTCATCTCAGGACCTTGATTTTGCCTATTGGAGTTCCTGCACATCTTGAAATGTATGTCTCATCAGTCTGTGTTAAAAGATCAGGTGGTTGGATATCTGCAGACTTACATTCCGCTAGTTGCTGAAGGTTAAATAAGTGCAGACTTTTTTTCCTTTTTCCTCCTAGCCTTTCTGTGTGCCATTAGGTGAAGAGAGCTTTGGAATATTTTGGGAGCCCAGACTTCTACCGTAGCCTGAAGTTTCTCATCCCTGTCCTTCTGAATATGCACTTAAGTTTTGTTTCTCTTACCTAGCAAAATTTGTTTTAGTATGCAAGAACAACAGTTTCCCATATTTGCTGAGCTAATCCTTGATTAATTAGTTCATTATTTCTGCTACAGAAAGGACAAATAATTTCCATTTAATTTCGAGCAATGTCACGGGGCATATAACTGAATAATAACGTCCTGTACTAAAGGCCAGATTTTTTTTTTTGATAGGGTGGAACTGCAACTGCCAGACCTTGCTGCTGAGGATCCATCTGTCACTGCATTCCCCGTGACCAGGAAGAGAAAGAAACTCAGCGTGTCTGAATTTGAGAGAGCAGCAGACAAGCGGCTTCCTCGGAAGCAGGGTGAGGATCTGCATTTACTTTTACATTTCTGTGATCTGCTGCAATTTAGCACCTAATAACTTCTCAGCTGGGAAGCAAGACTGCAGCATCTTGTACAATGAAGACAGCAAAGAAGGGGATGTGAAGCAACTTTTTTTTTTTTTAAATCCAAGTCACAGGCTCTGTCCTTATTGAATGTGGCTTCTTGACTTTTTTCAGCTTGGTGCTCTTTTGCATTTTGAAACATCAGCAAAAGGAAGCAGTCCTTGTCTCCTCCAAATTCCAGAAACCTGAAAATAGGAAAAAAATATAGAGAGAGATTTTGTTGTAGTTATGTCCTGTAAGTTATGCAGCCCTTGTCCTGGGGAAATTTTATAAAGGAAACAATATTTTACATTAGAATATTTTTTTCCCTTAACATAAAACTTCTGAATACACTTTTCTTTTAGTTGAGCAGAGACAGAAGGTTAAAACACCTCACCTTAGTTTATGTATTCTGTTGGCAGTACCAAGTGGAATAGAATTTTAAGATGGGATTCAGCTCCCACTTACAGATCTCTGAATCCGTGTGTCTGCATGTACGCTAGGTGGCTGAACTGCTCTTAAAGCTTAAATGAGATCTGCTCACTGGAGCCTAGAGGGTGATTCAGCCCAGCCCACAGAAGGTGTGTATAGCTGGTGAATGGTGTTTGTAATGGGAACATGGATGCCTGTGCTTGGCTGTCTTAATCTGGAGCTGAATCCCACACTGACTCACCTGTGATCAGAAAATTGACTCATTTTTTTGTCCAGCATGTGTTCATGTTGATAAGACATAGGCAATGCTGTAAAAGTAGAGAGGACGTGCTCTAGTATTTACTAACGTGGGCAAGATCAGTGCTCTTTAACTAATGAGTAACCAACTTCTTTCTTTTTTTTTTTTTTTTAAGCTCATTCATCATTGGACAGCACTTTGGTTCGGTGAGTTTAAAAGAAAAAATCCCTTGCCTTGATTCATAACCTCTGTAACTGTGAGCAATGTTACAGATAATTGGGTATATGACAAAGAACTGTGTTAATCATAACAATCATCCCTCATGTTTCATTACTGGAGTGGAAGTGTCATACCACATGCTTTGTATTTTTCCACAATTGTGGCCCCTGTACTGCATGACCCAGCAAGTCTGGCATGTATTGCTATCATTGCTTCTGCTTTTTTTGTGCAGGTGTCGTGTCTCCTCCTTTTGCTTCCTTGGGCCATTCCTTTTTTCCCTTTCTTCCCCATAGTAAATCAATGCTTAATATACCTTGGAGTATTATCTCTACCTGTTAACTCATTATCTCTACTGTTATCTCTAACCTGTTGACTCATCACATCAGTTGCAGCAATGCAGACTTCATTTTCTGGGCTTAAAAGGCTTTTTGGCAAGTCAAGACATTTTCTTCTGTCACACCTGTACTTTGCTGTAGTTAGCAATTGTTTTTGTTTCTCACTGCAGTCCTTGCTCGTTGTCTCATGCAAAGTGATTCAGAAGGCTGAGTACCACTCTTCCTATCTTTTAAATCCTCCTTTATCCTGAATCCCATTTTTGATTGGGCTGCCTAGGAAGAAGAACAAGAGATAGCTGAGCTGGCCAGTCTCATTAAGATACAAAATACGTACATTCAGATAACATATTTCCCCCCCCATATTTGTTTTATTGCTGTTTTTGCTCTTACCTCAAAAAGTTTATTTTGTTGGCAGCTGTAGTTTGTTGTCAGTACTGACAGCACTTGATCACCATCCTTCTAACTCACTGTGATCTTGAGGACACCTTTACTCTCAGAGTAAATTCTACTCTATTTTTTAAAGACTTCTGAACCTTTTGCCAGTTATGCTGGCAGTTGCAGCCCTCTCTATGTAGGAGGCTGTAAAACCATCTGTTTCCTGTGGTACGTATTCTGATGTCAGATAAGCAAAGGGTCTGATTTCATTTTGTTCAAGTAGACTGGCACGTAATCTTTGGAGCTTTGTTGTTCTTAGCTGAGAGTTTTGTGAAGTATTATTATTATACAGCCTCCTGGCTGTAACCTGAGAGCAAGTGGGGAGTGTGTGGGTTTGGAAAAGGCTTTCTGCCTCTCTCTTTATACAGATCTCTTCGCATGTCAGTTGGCTCTGTGATGGCACCAGACACTGTTGAAAAAAGAGGCTTACAGCGGAGGCCGCAGAATCGCAAAGCTATTGACATCGCTGCTTTTGAAGGGGGAGTGGAACAGAACATGCTGCAAATGAAAGGTTTCTTTTGTGTTGATACTTGTGTTTTGGGACAGAGGGACTTGTATAAGGTGACTTTTAGAAGCAGTTGCTGCAACATGGACTGTACTTTAGGATTTAAAGGCTACTAACTTGTTCACAGAAATCTGGTGTAATCTGGGAGGCCAGATTTGGAACAAGGCTCTGCGCCTGTAGTTGCCTTGATTCTTGGCATTTTCAGTGTCCTCTGCCTACACACCACACAAACTGTATATTGTATGGGATTATGTTCATAACTGCAGGTACTGGGGAGGTGGTTTGGCTTGGGCCACTGAAGAGTGGTGACAGAGTTTCACAGTTTGATTTGCTGTGGATGAATTCAATTTGGTTATATGACTTAGATGTTGTATTATCTAGGTCCTGGTAATAAACATGTATTCCTATAACTTTCAATGGGCTCTTTTTTTTCCCCACGTAAAACTTGTTTTAAAACTTTTTTAAACAGCACAAGACTATCTTGTGGATTTGCAAGCATCATCTATGACTGGAACAACTGCAATAGGAACTGATGCAGAAGTGGTGCTGAATAATACAGAGCTCTTTGTTGAGCCTCAGTTTGGTGAACAGAACTTTCTTGCTGTTGAACCACAGCTGTCAGATTCAAAAACTTCAGCACAAAGAAGCAATTCTTCACATCCTGCTCACGTGGAAGAAAGGTTGGAGGGCCTGGTATCTGCTGTGAGCACAGATGCGAGAAAGACCAGGAGATTTTCTGAAAAGGACTTAATAACTGATCATGAACATGTTGATGGGATAACTCAGAAAACACCTGCAAGGCAGGGAGAAGAGGAGCAAGATCACTCCCAGCAGAATGACCCAATGGAACAGTTCTCTGAGCCAGAAGAAATGGCTGGCAGTGAGTACAGTGGGTTGGGATTTGGGGGTTGCAGATATTTATATGAAATCATAGGGACTGGGTTGGTAGGGGTAGTGGAAATGGTAAGTCGTGGTTTGAAGCAGTGATGGAGCACCTGGTGGGAAGGCAGGGCCAACCCAGGGGAGCTCAGGTGCAAGCAGTGTACCTGAGTGATTGGAAGGATCCAGGATCCACCCCTTCCCAGATCTCATTTGAGGGTTGGCAGTGGAAGCAGAGGTATCTTGCTGGAGATCCGTGGAAGCAATTCACCTGAAGGGCTGGGCCCTGGCTCCACTCCTCCCTAACCTCCTGTAAGAGCTGGGAGCCACAAGGGGAGTATCTCTACTTAGAGATCATCTCCTTTGGAGTGTTTGATGGGCCCTGATGCTCAGAAAGGGGTAAGAATTCCCTCTTTGATACTAGATTGTGACTGTTACCTTTCTTAGGTTTAAAGCAACTATATTGGCTGCTGCCTGTGCTTGCAGGTGGCTTGCAGAGCAAAGCCAAGCCAAGGTTTTATTAATGCAATGCATTATTAAGTTTTTGGAGATAACTTGAGTTGTATCAGAAGCACTGTGAGCATTTCCTTTCTAAAAGCATGCTGTGACTCATCTGCTCCCTTGTCCCTATTTGCTTTGTTCACAACAACTGCAAATGGAATAAACTTTTCTATTCTGTAGGTCCCCAGTACTGCTCATCTTCCTGGAGGAAAGATGAATAGCTCCTTCTTGGCAAAGAATCTGTCCGACTAATCACTTCTTGCTAGTCCACATGTTAACATTTGCTATATTTATTGAAGCCAGTTTAGCCTTTAGTTTTCTTCAATACCTGTCAGCATCTTTCTCTCCTCGGGGGCTTCAAGGCTGCCCTGTCTGAAGTAATAATGATTGTCACCAGTAGTTTGGGGCTTAATACCAACCTCCCTGTTACTGGAAGAGGATTTCATACACAGTGTGTTTTTACATGCTCTGCTTTCTCTGAATCCTTTTGCCATAGAAAAAGTCAGTAAGCACTGTGTGTGTGCTGAGGTTGGCAGGCAGCACCCATTTATTGCCTAAGCCTTGGGTGAGTGTGGACACAAATTCCTGTGTTCTATGGAATTCCATTTTCTAAACTCTAGCTTAGGAGTATCAGCAAAATTAGTTATCTTTTAACCATGGTAACACAGCATTTTGTTTTGAGCAGTTCTTTTCAGTTAGTTTGCTTGGGTAGCAGCTATTCTCCATCCCTAAATTTATAATTGCATGAGATTAGCATTCTGTAATCTTTCCTGATTGATTTGGTTTTGGTCCTGTTATTGCTTTGCTTGGGTGCACCACTGAAATGTGGGCATCGACTGGATGTGACACTGGAGGATGATGAAAGTCACCTCAGGATTATTGCAGTGCTGTGAACTCAGAGCTTGGAGAATGGTCAGAAAAGCAAATTACCTGTAAAAATTACTGTGAGAAGAAGATAAAGTGGTGAACACTGCTGTGCTACTAAGTAAATGATTGTCGTGTTCACCTTTACTGCTGCGTGTGGCTCTGAGCTCTGCATTTCAAAACAGGTTTAACAGAGTGCAGAGAGAAGTGATTACCATTAATGATCATCAAATGCATGGAGCAGTTTCTGTACAGCGAATGACTGAATGTAAGGACTCCTCAGCTGGGGAAAGGCAGCTGCTCTGAGACTCAGAATTTTAAAAGGAAAACCCTTGAGCAGAATGAAGGGGGATGGTAATTGCCCTCTGAGTAAAGGATTTCCTTCTAACATCTAGTCTAAATCTTTCCTCTTCTAGTTTGAAACCATTTCCCCTTGTCCTAATGCTACCATGTAGAAGTCAATCTCTTTCCTTTTATAACTTTCCCTTAAGTACTGAAAGGCCACAGTGAGAATCACTGGCTGCCTTAGGCAGCTTTGATGGTCCCTGGTTCAGTTTCAGGATATCTAGGCACGTGCTTTGCCATCTAAGCCCATGAGCTGGAAATGGGGAGGAGGGACTGGGAATAAACTCTTATGTATTGCTAGATTTAAAGGAAAAAAGAATTGGCCTTTCAGGCAATCTCCAAAAGTGAAACTAGCTCTACAAGATCTACTCTTTTTGTCTTTGCTTACTGAGAAGTACATTTCCTTTGTGGGGATCTGACGTGTGCCCTGAATAGGTGGCAGACTGAGGAAATGTTTTTCATTGTAAATTTCTGGAAGGGAACTGCATTTTTAGTTTATGGCTGTTGATGTGTTTACTTATCAAGTGAATTTTAGCAATTGTTAAACCAGATGCTGGTAGTTGATTGTATTTTTGGTTGGTGAAACTGATGATGAAGTTTCCTGCTTTAGCTACAGAGCACCATGCAGATACTGAATATTCTGAACATTCAGAGAAGAAACTGTCAAGAAAATCAGAATCACAGCTAACAGCAGCCCAGGATGCTGGAATCAAAATGAAAATGACCCCTTTGGAAGGAGGAGGAGCAGCAGAAGGCACTGAGCACCAGGACTCGCCCAAAGCTGGTGAGATCAGTAGCACTAGGACCTCTCAAGCTGCACTATGGCATCAGTGCTTGGAGAGTTGCTTGTTAATTCTCTCAGTGTTCTGCAGTCTAGGTTAAATGCTGGGGGGAAAATATAGCCAGCTGATCTTGACATTTCAGCTGCAAGACTGCAGTACAGCTCAGGTAGAAACCAAAATCTACTTGGCAGTAGTGGCTGGAAATAAATAAGTGCTGGAAGCTTCTTTAATTGACAAATCTCCCATTAGTAAATTACAATCTTTGCCTGACTCAACTTTGATACTCTCTAAATGCTTTGGTGAATCTAGATCTAAGTTAATTTTCTTAAATTACAAGGGTCTTCTGTCTTTAACATACCATCCAAAGTCTTTGGTAATGCTTATTTTGAGGGGAAATCCACCTTTCCTTATAGCACAGAAGCTGTGTAGTTCTTTTCATTAAAAGAAGATGATCTAAAAGGAACTCGGATAACAACTTTGCTCTGAGTTACCAAGTGCCATTTTCACCTGACTTTGGCACATGTAGGTGCAGCAAAGGGAAAAAGATGAGGATTCATCAGTGCTTTCACTACCCAGCTCAATGGATTGATGTTCTAATCCTTGAAAGCAGGAATATAACAGATGGCAACTTTTTCAGGAATGGCAGGTTGGGTTTAATTTTCTGCAGCTTTGGTTGTGATGATTGCTGCAGTGATGTATTCTTCCTGTTTTGGAAATCTAGAGCTGGAGATGGCTGGAAGTGTTGGAGCTGGAAGTCTTGGCAGGCATTCTCCTGCTTCGTACTCCCTTGAAAAATCTGGGGCAAAGCCATTAAAAGAAGCTGTTGAGCAAACAGGTGAAATAGAACATAGGACCATCACAAGAGAGCTGGATGCTGCTGAAGAAGAGTCTGCTGATAACGAAAGTGAAATAGAAGACCATGAGAGTGAAGGTAAGGAGAAATCTGTAGAAGTAGCAGAAGGCAGTTGAAGAATCCCCTGGTATCTGTCAACAGGTTGAAAAACAGCAGAACTAATAATGTGATCAGCTGCTTAGTCCATTAGATAGTCTAGGTGAAGCTATTGGCTGATATTCCTAGGGCCAGTCTACTGCATCAGTCTGCTTCATTGCTCCAAGAGGTTTTGGAAGCATTTGGAAGAATGTAGTTCAGTCAAGGCCACATCTGAGAATTGCCTGTAGTGAATCTCAGTGCTCTCTTGGCATTGGTCTGAAAATCATCCAGTGTGTAATGAATGTATCCTGAACTGAAAAACTGAACTAAGGGCATCCTGAAAGAATCCTGTTACCAGAGTTTGAGGCATTGTGAGGAAATTCAGCTGTGATAAGAAGGTGGCAATCGATCTGACACGCTTTTGCCGTGAGAAAAGCTGTGAAGTGTTTGTAGGGTGTCTGCAATAGTGTGTGAAAGGAGTGTGTGAATGCTTATCTGTAACCTTCAACATCTTGCTGGAGAGATCTGTGCAGTGCTGATAGGGTGGAACAGTGGAAGTAGTGTCTTCCAGATCTTGTTGAACAAAGAGAGGAAGAAAAGCGGGAATTAAAAATGAGGAACTGTGCACTATAGTTGTAAATTTTACCTCAGAAACCTTAGCACAAGTAGTTTCTTCCTCTGCATCCCACTTCCTGCTCCTCCAGCACGTGTCAGGATTTCTTCAGAGGAAACGTGAGGAACCATAGTGGCTCACCCAGCCCTGCTTTCTGTGAAGGGCTCCTGACTTTTGAGTTGCAGAGTTTAACTCCCACTGGTACCTTGAGACCTCTGGTAGATGGACTTGTCTGCTGTCACAGGACAGATGCCTCAGCCTCCTGGGGAGGGTGGTGAAGTACAAACTTCAGTTATGTTATCAGATATGCTGGATTCTTGGGCTCTGCTCAGCTTGCGAGGGAAACTGGCAGACAAGAGGTTTTCTCTCACCAGTCCTAGACAGGAAGCTGCTCAGTATTTCAGTTTAGTTAAGGTTTTCTTTCCTGCTCATTGTTACAAACCGAAGGGATTGAAGACTGAAGTTAGAGGGTGCAGATTAGATTGGATGAAACTGCTACAGATGGTGCACAGGCAAAGAAAAGGCAAGGTACTGTCTGCATCCTGAGCCTTAGCTGGAGGGAATTTCTGAAACTGCAAATGTGGGAGATGCTCATAGACTCACCTTCATCTTGTGACTTTCTTGCTCTACACATCCCTCTGCTCAGGAGAATTTGATACTGATTTAACAGGATGACAGTGAAGTAGTTTTCGTGCTTTGAAGTTCTCTGGAAGAAGGCTGCAACTTTTTTGGCAGTTTAAGTTGATGGAACCATCAGCCCCAGTGTCCATTTGAGACCCTGCCCAGCCTGCAGGTCCCACACAGCCTACTGGGTGGGAGCTGGCAGTGAGGAAACCACCAGTGTGTGAGGCAGGAGATGGGGCAGATAGAACTGCAGCAGTCAGTGGCCAGGCTGGTTCCACACAGCCATAGCCTGAGTGCAGGCAGTGTGGCACCAGACCAGATTTGTGCAAAGCTGGCTAGACTTCTGGCTGCTGCTACAGTGGTGCTTGCTGCAGGGATTTGGAAAACTGATTTTAGTTCCTCAGGTGGCTGGTATCCTTTTGTTTTCTTTTTTCCTTAGAAGTTTCCATGAAGACACCCATGTTTGTCCGTGCTGCAGACCACAGACTGCATCCTGTGCTGTCGCCTCCACGTCCTGTAAAATCTGCTGCTCCTGAGTAAGTGTAAACAGCCTTCAGCAGTGATCTGATGGAAGTGTGCCTGGGAAACACAAATGGCAAGAGCAGAGAGCTCAGGGTGCTGCTTGTTAGCTATCTAACGTGTGTTGTTTGGGTTTTCTATGTGTTGGTCTGAGATACAAGTCTTCTCTGTTGTTTCTTACTTGTCTACTGAGTGAATCTGGGGACTTTGCTTCCCCTTTCTGTGTTGCAGATCTTCATTTTAGATAGGAGAACAATAGTAGTTTCATTTAGGACTTTAAAAAAAAAAAAAGCCTGAGGGAGGAAGAATGCAAAAGGCTAAACAAAACATTTCTAATAATGTAAAGTTTTTCTGAGCATGTTTTTCATGGAAGGTGACTGTGTCAAAGGAGAAACTCCTGGTAAGTGTTGTCAGCTGCCGGGAATGGTGGATTGTATCTTACAGACCAGACTCTCCTGTCTCCAGATATGGAGATGGCCTAGGGATACCTCAAACTTTGTCCACTCCTGGGAAGTGAAAACTACAGAGAGCTATAGCACAGATGCATTTATATATTAGAGTGAACTATAGCTTGCTGGCTTTTGCTGTGTTGGCACCCTTATCTCAGGAAACTTGAGCCTGAATTCTCCCAAGGCTGGAATGCCACAAGGATGGTTTGCAAAATCTGTACTTAGTGGGCATGAGAGATTTCGGCAGTTGAGGGAGAAAGAAGTGGTAGTTCTTAACATCTTCAAATTCAGCATAAGTCTTGCCTGAACTTGGTTCTCTTCCTACTGCCTGTATGTTCACCTGATGATGTGTGAATTTTCAATTTCTCTCTAAGGTTGCCCCCACAGCCACTGCGGGCTCCAAAGCCAGTTCCAAAGAGCTCAGGAGCAGCACAGAGGAAAACACGTGAGCCTGAAATAGCAAGCAGGCTGATAAAGCAGATATTTAGCCATTACGTGAGAATGCCAGTGACCAGAGATGCCTATAAAATTGTTGAAAAATGGTAAGCAGCAGCAAACTGCTCTCCTCCTCCTCTTCTTTTCCCTCTTTTTTTTCTTCCTCCTGTAACTGTAGATTCTTCCAGAGACCTGCTGACAAGTTGACGGCTCTCCCTCAGCCCTTCGCTACTCAGCTGGTGGGAAATCTGCAGGAGGTGTGATGAAAATGAGAACAGAAATGTGCTAGGTGCTTTTGGCTGCTGCGTGGCTATCAGTGAATGATGCTGCCTTGCAGCAACTTCTGACATTTGTCTCAGATGGGACCAAGTGCACCGTGCAGTGCTTTAGCTAACAGCATACTGATATCACTGGCACTCTGAGCAGGATGGCTCTGGAGGATCAGACTGAGCAAGGTGAAGCTGTTCCTGCTGTGCACTATTACAGCTCCAGGGTTTCTCAGCTATTGGAATCTAGAAATTAGCTTCCTGAGTAAAATCTGGGGATTGTTCCAACACGGTACCCCGTAAGAGCCTAATAAATCCATGTTAAAGATGAGACTGTCAGTTAACTCATGTTCTTGCCTGTGTGGGAGTTCTGGGAAGGATTCTGCTTGTCAAATGTGCAGCTGTTTCACAGCTATCTTGGCACATCCAGAATTACTGGGTGATGGTCCAGAAGGCCGAGGCTGAGATGCAGTGCTTCATTCCCAGGACTGTCGTGTTTCTTCTCCCACATATTTCTCTGGCAGGCTGTGACCTGCACAGAGAGCAGCTGCAGTACAACTTACCCAACAGAAGCGGGCGAGCATTTGGTGTTAGTACACCCCACAGCCTGATGATTTTATTTTTTTTAATCTCTTTCTTTAATTCTTCTACAGCTCTGAGAGATACTTCAAGCAGATCAGTAGTGATCTGGAAGCTTACAGCCAGCATGCAGGGAGGAGGACGGTGGAGATGGCTGACGTGGAACTCCTCATGAGAAGGTAAAGGAAAGGTGTTATTAACCTGTTGTGGTGGTCTGTGTTGCACTGATAGCCTGGTAAGACTGTCACTGCCTGGGTATGCACACTGGCAGTGTTTCCACTGTGAGTGTGGTAACTTGTGACTTGTTCTGTGTGATGCAGCTTGGCTTTTTGTCCCAAAAAAAGACATTTATGGACTTGAATTTCTATACTCTAGGGCCAGTGTGGTAGAGGGCAGGCAGAAGTGTTGAGGGTTGGGAATGAAGGAGGAGTCTGAGAAACAGGTAGCAAGAGGAGGGGAATGTGTGCAAGGCTGAAGCAGAAAGGGCTGGGACATGAAAGGTGTGCGTAGAAAACGCAGGTGAGTTACAGTAAGCAAGGCTAGGCTGTTTGCATCCCTGAGAGCACTTGTGACTGAAATGGGGACTGCAAGCACTCGCATTACTGTCCTCCAAACAAAATCCCAAACAAATCTGATAGAGTTCAAACTGACTGTTCCTTGCCAAAGCAGGAATAAGATTCTCTGGCCTGGCTTATACTGATAGCAGCGTTCCTCTTCTTGCTGCTGCAAGACCTCACAGAGGGCCTGCATCCTGCATGGGATGTTCTCAGAGCCTCTTCAGTGCAGCTCTTCCCTTTGGGCTCCCTCAACTCCCCCATCTTATGACTGGACTTATGTTGTCCTGCGACCTAAATACAAGGGTTTTGTTCTTGGGTTGGAAGCCTGAAGCATTTCCCACTCCTTATTTGAAGTCAAGGAAGTTGTTATTCTAGTTTCCCCTGGAAGAGTTTCTTTCAGGTGCTATGTTCAAGTTATTTGAGGGATTAAAGTAAATGGTTTTGTGTGGGCTTGAGTACCAGGAGCTGGTGCTGCTGCTTAGAAAGAATTAATCTCTTGCTGCCTAGAGAATTCATTTTCCCAGCTGACAGCTGTATTGATATTAATAAAGCAGGTCAAGAAACATGATGACTTAGTTGGCCAGGTTTGAGGATTCTGTATGCTTGTTCTACCTTTTTCCCAATGTCTTTATGCTTTTCCACTGCCTCCTAAAGAGATTAGGAGTTGTTACCAGTCAACAAATAAGAACAGCATTTCTGCTGTTCCTGCAAAGAAAGCATGCATAAAGGCTGCTGTTTCTCTCTGTGAGACTGGGAGATAATGATTTTTTTTTTTCAGGCCAGTCAGCTAAATGGTGTTACTAGAAAACAACACTGTCTGCACAGCTCTAAAATGCCAACCACTGAGTTGTGAATGGCATGTAAAAAAAAGTCTACTGGACAATGGGATGTTTGCTTCCATTGCATCATTCTGTGCATGTCCTTAAATGGTAAAACTTATCCCATGTCACATGGACTGTGAATTTAAAAAGGAATGCTCAAACCATTTGGCATGGCTCAATGTGCTGACTTTCACTGTGGGAAACATGTATCTCTGTGGGGGGCTGCACCACAGATGGGACTGAACACGTGGGGAAGTTGTGTGCAAATAAAGGGAGATGACTTTCCTATTGCAAACAGCCACAGCCTGTGTGTTTCAGGAGTTAAATGCTAAAATGCCACTGCAAGAAAACTTCAGAAACTTTGATATTAAGTTTATTGGAAACTCTTTCCACTAACTATTCTGTTTCTTTTCTGCTCTTTTTTTCTGAACAAAGGCAAGGGCTGGTGACAGACAAGATGCCATTGCATGTACTGGTGGAGCGTCACCTCCCTCTGGAGTACAGGAAGCTGCTGATTCCCGTTGCTGTGAGTGGGAATAAAGTGATTCCCTACAAGTGAAAGTGCCCCTCTGGCAGTGGGCATGTCCTAGGGGTGGAAACACAGCTGACCATAGGTGGTTCCATGTGATGGTTTTCCACTTGCAGCTGCTGGGGCAATATGCACTCAGCACGGGCTTGAATTGATTCAGGTTGTGCTGTGGCTATCGTGCCAGCCTGCTGGATCTCACCATCAATTATTATTCTTGTATCTTTAAATACTTTTACAGCTCTGTAAAATAAAATGATGTGTATTCTGCACGATACAAATGTTGCTTATTCTGGTGAGCTGAAAGGTTACCATACGTCTGCTGCATTTTCAGAATGTTCCTTATAGGCACTTGTGCTGGTGCTCTCCATGCTAACCATTTGCGTGCTCAAATGAGCAGTTATGGACTGCCTTCTGAGAAGATGATGATCCTTGTTTACAGCTGTGTATTTTTTTTTCTAGACCAGGGACTTTGAAGCTTGGGATCTTGTCCTACTTTGCAAACCTGGTCTACGATGTCAAGAGCAGCTCATAGTTTATCTGTGGCAACAGCTGATGGGGAGTTAACGAGCAGTAATTGAAGACCATCTGAGAGGTTAAATTTTCTAGCTCAGATGCAGTAAATGGACTTAATTGTATAAATTTGATTTACGTGGCAAAGTTTTGGTAACATGGGCACTGTAGGGGTACCCTTGTGTCAGCCTGTTCTGGCCAGTTATGAAATAGAGCCACCACTGGCTAAATTGGAGCCCTTCTGCAATGCACATCAGTGCTAACATAAGAAATGGTAAAAAGTGCTGCACAGCAGGTGTGTGAGGGAGTGATGAGGAAAATGTGAGAGAGACATTCCTGCAGACCCCAAAGCCAGTGCAGAAGGAGGGCAAGAGATGCTCTGGGAGCAGAGTAGAAGTTTCCTACAGCTCAGGAGAGGCCCATGGTGGAGCAGGCTGTCCCCCTGCAGCCTGAGAGCACCGCATGGAGCACAACATCACTGGGCAGAGCAGGGAGGAAGGAGCAGCAGAGATGAAGTGTTAGAGGCTGATGGCAGCCTGTGTTCCCCACCTTCCTGTGCTGTATGGAGTGGGAAGGGAGTAGGAGAGTTTGAGAATGAAGGAGTGACTTAGAGCTTTGGAAGAAGAGGAGAATGGGAGAAAGGTGTCTTTTAGTTTTGTTTCTTTCTCACCTCTCAAGTAATTGTCAATAATTTTCCCCAAGTCTAGGCTGTTTTGCCCCTGATGGGCAAACATTGTGTTTGATCTTTACCCTGATCTTTTCCTTTCAAAGAGTGGGAGTGAGGTGGTGGCTGGCTGAGATACAGCTAATAATAACACACCATGCTTTGTGTTTGGGCCCTCCCTTTATTTCTAAAACACATGCTCAGAGATGAGGGCTGCACTTCTGCAGGTGTTTCCTGATGCCAATCGTGGTGCCAAATAAACCCTTGTGCCCTTCAGGTAAGGGTAAGAACGAGTGAAATGCCTGTCTGTGATTTTACTGCTTACAGTGAGCCTAAGCTGCACCAGGAGGAAGGTCAGCCACGTCAGAGGGTTTGTAAGGAGCAAAGAATGATGGCTTTCTAAAACAGTTCACAAGCTGGGGAAGGATGACACAATTTTCAGAAGAACAGACATAAAACTTTTCCTTGGATATCATTCATCTGTAATGCTGTTCTGTGTTTCCCAGTCTGACATGCTACCATGCTTCCTTTCCACTTAGCCAGTTTGCAGTTCCCAAGGTAAGGCAATTAAAGTGCTTGCTTATTTTCAGGGAAAGAAAAAATCTGTTCCTTCTTCCTCCACTACCTCTGATTTTTAGCTGCTGTCTTAAATTTAAGAAACTGGGGCTTTTAGATTAATTAAAAAAAAAAAAAAGTCTTTAAACTGATTAATTAGTCTGTGGAGAAGGGGTGGCTCAGGGCTGCTGCTTTGCAGTCCCCTCGAGTCAGAGTGGGGCAGAACAGGGCTGGTGCTTCCAGCTGGGGTCAGCCACAGCTCAGCCAAACTAAAGAAAGAAAACTGCAGACTAAAGAGTGGAGTAACTGCTTTTTCTTTTTTCTTTTTTGCAGTTTAGGAATGTTCTAAAGCCACAAAACACAGTTTTCTGTATTCTTGGATATGTGAGGAAGAGTTCCTTACTGAAAAGTACAGTGTAGCTTCCCAAAGGTCTGAAATGGTGCAGTTAATGAGGACTCCTGGAAATCATACCTGGCTTTTGGCAGCAGTGCTTACAAGTTAAACCAATTCTGCACAACACTAGGAAATGAAGGCCAGTGAGTTAGTTATTTTGACAGGCAGTTGCCAATACAAAGGTCAGTCATTTTCAAGTTCAAAAAAAGTAATTCCATTATTATGGGCTTTTTTTTCCTCTCCAGTATTTGAAAGGAAGCAGCTTTGTTAACTGACATATTATAGTATTCTTTTTAAAATATTTTATGCTGTTTTATGCAGTTTTTTTAGTGCACCCTCGCATCTTTGCATGCCAGGGTTTGAAAATTTTGGTCTGAAGTAATAACAGAGCTTCCAGCTTCTTTCCTCTCTGCTGAAGTGCTGTGAGAATCCTCTTTCTAAGAGCACTTCAAGAGAGACTAGAGAGAGCCTCCTAGTTCCTGCTGTGGGAGGGCAAGGTAGGATTTGTTATCCATTCTCTCTTCTGTTGAGAGGTGTTCTAGTTGCTCTAGTAAACTAAACTGAAGGCTTGGAGGGATAGATTGCTATCTTTCAAGTCCTACCAATGAAACTGGAAGGGTGAAAGAAAGAACTGCTGCTTACAGGGCAATGCATTTAACTTTTTGGAATCTATGTTGCTCAGGGTGAAGCAAAACAAGTGAATCCTGCTTTTGGTAGTGCAGTGCTTTCCTTGCCTTTCCATTAGATGCTCTCTCCTGGAGAGCTTTGCAAATCTGAAGTTCATCTACCAAACATATCTTCTGTGTTTTAATGCCCTCTTCTTTCCAGCTATTCTGAATTTTGCTGTGTTAAATCTTCTGTTTTCAGAACTTCTCCCGGAGATACGTGCAGTTAGGACACCTGATTCCTAGTTAGATGATGCATCTCCTTTTTCTGTGCTTTTGTATTTCCTTTCCTGACACTTAGCAACTTATGCTGGAGGTAGGCAGCACCAATTTCAGTAATCAAGGCAGAAATTGCAGGGGCTTCATACACCTGATGGTACTTATTCTGTCGTGTGGGCTCTGATGTCTCTCCAGTTCACAAATGCAATCTGTTTTTTCAGGACAGTTCAAACTAGCCTATCCTCTCAACAGTTAGTGACTGTGTGTGTCTACATGCATGAAAAGTGGTATTTAGTGCAGTAGCTCTGACTCAGGTCTGTATCCAAAACTGCAGATCAAACAGGCTTTTTATTCTTAACATGGGAAGCTTCCTTACTCTCCTTCAGAGTCTGTTGTGCTTTCTTTCCTGGGTGAGGGCCCTACTCGTCTCACATCTCCAACACGGAGTCTCTCCAGCACGGTGTCCACAGGCACAACTTCTTGGTCAGGCTGTTCTCTTTTGACCTGGTAAGCCAGGCTGATGTAGGCATCTAGCATCTGATCATTGATCTTGGGATCGATCCTGCAGAAAGCTGCCTTCAGATCATCTGCATCCACCTCTCTGCTTGAAAAAACAATTCGGTCACTTGCACTGCTATGGTATAGGATAGGAATGCCCAAGCATTTGCACCACAATGAAAATCTGTGTTGCTCAAAATGCACGTTTGTTCAATGTTATCAATGGTGGGAGTTTTTAATATGCATGTAATAAATTACTAAATCAAACTGAAAAGAAATTAGGGAGAGTTCGTTTGTGATCACCTGGGAAGACTTTAATTTTCCTCTGTTAAACATTTTTTACCCTTTGTTATATAACTATGCTTTTCCTTGCTAATTCAGTGCCTGTAAAAGACAGCATCAAACTTGCTGTGCATCCAGCCCACCTTTACTGTTTCCCTCATTGCTTGGTGCCTGGCACAAGGCTTCTTTTCTATGCAGTTGCTCCATTCTGTTTGTCTTGATTTGAGGTGGGATTATTTCTCAGACTTTTGCCTTCAAGTCTGCAGCTGTCAGTCCAGTTTGCTTCTCTCACTCCTCAGAACTAATCTGAGTACAGGACTTTGCTACTGTTTTTAGAGAGCCAAGGGATGTCGAGATTAACTTCAAGTACTGAAGGGGATTATTACCAGCACAGCCAACTTTCTCCACTCACTGCTTGCCATAGCCCTTACAGGTTGTCTGTCCTGCCTCTTTACCTTGTGCCCATTTGTTCCAGCTGAGCCTGTTCACTAGTTAGGAGGTTTCTCAATCTGACCCTGGCTTCCTCAGCAAGTCCTAGGTACCCTTTGCATCTCCATTTCCCATGCTGACCTCTCCATGCCTCGTCTCATGCTGTTTTTACTTGGTAAAAGCTAGTAATCCCTGACTTGTTACCTCCCCTTCTCTGTAGCCACTCACTGCTGCTGCTTGCCAGTACCTCCAGCCCATGTCCCCAAATGCTCCTCCTTGTCTAAATGCTCCCAGCACAGCCTTCTCTTTTCTCTCTACCATTTTGGCTCCCATTGCACCTGCAGCTCTCTTCTTGACCCCTGCAGGGGGCTTGGCCAATGGTCATTCCAGAAGCTTTCTGCCTGTCCTGTGTGTATTGATCTCACTTATTCTCTGTTTTCCCTGGCTGTCAGGCAAGACTCCTGTCTGACCACAGTTTCCCTTGCTCAGCTCAGACTTGAGCAGCATGCCTTGTGTAGCATAGGTGCTCAGCCTAAGCCCAGTGCCCTGGTGGCTCCCAGGATCCTCCTTCTTTCTTGCCTCTCTCCACACTAAGGTTGTTGTTAGGGAGCTCATCCTCTGCACTGCTTGAGCATCTTTGTCAGGTCCCTGCAAGCCCAGGAGCAGTTCAAATCCAGCCCCAGCACATGGGCACAGTGAGTTTGGAGGGGTGACAAGGAGAAAGGCACAGCTCACCACGGAGTGGGGAAGTGGGCAATGAAAAGACCCAAGTGTGTGGCACAGCAGGTATTCAAATTTGAGTCCCTGCACAGGAGTGATGTACTCCTGTGTCCATGGGGGGATCCTGATCCACTGTCCCCACTCCTTTGTACGTACATTACATCTCCCAGGCTCTTCTTTAGCTCTTGCAGGTACTCCTGCTTCTCGCTGACATACTGGCTCCTGAGCTTTGCAACAAAAGGTTCAGGGTTCCCCTCTTCATCCTGAAAGAATTTAGAGCACGGATCACGTGTTCCTCCATCCCAGTAAGAGTCATTCCCCACTGTAAGTTAAAATAGCTCTCGTACAAATGGAATTTCTATATGAAAAGGGAAAATAAAATCGGGAAAAAAAACTCTTTCACAGAAAAAAAGCACAAGTTTGCATTACAGAGATCTGCAGGTGGTTTTCAGAGCCTGTGGTGTGCAGTGCAGCTATAGTAGTTGGATAAGCAATCTGACCAGCCTAATTTCAGTATTTTGCTTAAACCCAAGTCAAAAAGAAAACTTATGTGAACTTACTTCTTCGAATAAGGATGTGTAGTCAATGAGGTCTTCATCACTGTCCAGATTAAACCTGCTTGCATCGACCAGCTCTTGGATTGCATCTCTTCTTTTCAGAGGAAAAGCCTCCCTCAGAGCCATTCTGCTTGGACACAGGCAACAGCATGTGAGCAGTTAATGAGTGCTGGTATGGACGGCAGCATTTTAAGCTAGCAGAGTGTGCATGTACACCATGAGCTACATCTTCAAAACTTCATTGCCCTCAGAGAGGATACAGGGGTCAAGGAAGTGCATGCACCTTCAGGGAACAAAGCAAGGGTGATGATTTCAGGTGGACGTTGATGCTGAACCATTTAGGAAGTTCTGAATGCAGCATGGTGTTGGCTAGCTGGGAGCTGGCGCATCTGCACCAGAGCCATGTTCCCAGCTGTGTGTTGGACGTGGCCCTTGCCTTAATTCTGTGCCATAGAAATGCTGTCTCTAGTGAGTACAGTTTATGAAAGCACAGGTGATTGACAAATCCAATTGACAAATCCTGCACCTGGGGCAAAACTCACAGAAACGCTTTGTGACCCATGCTAGGAGCAGGAGGGAGCGCTGCAGCGGATCCTCTCTCTTCCCTGGGGAATGGGGCTGGGTGCAGATGCTGCCTCATCCCCCTACGTGTGTGCAGCACCCCAGTGCCCTGTATCTCTTCACGGGTTTCCCAGTTTTGCTAATCAAAACCTGCAGTTCTCACATAACTCTAAAACCTTATGCTGAGTTTTACAAGTAGACGCTTGCTACGGCTGTCCTCACAAGAATTTAAGAGAGGAAAACTGTTCCCTGGGCTGTGCTGACAGATATAAGTGAAGCAGATGGACTTGGCTTATCCCAGTATGCAGAACTCAGTGTGTGGTGCTTGGCTCTTGCCTGAACTGCTTGCTGGGCAGGGACCCATTGCTGGAGCTGTCACAGGCAGCCAGCTGCTTCTGCAGGTCAGAAATCAGCTGATTCTGGTCATGATATTGCTCTTCAGCTACCTGTGGAACAGGGAAGGTTCACAGGTCAGGAACTGACTTATCTGTTGGCCCTTGGGTTGCATTCAAGGGGGAAGCAAAACTGCGAAAGGATTGTGCTCACTTCTAAATCAGCTTTTACCTGAGCTGCTTTTAGTGATTTATAAATTGTCAAGCAACACCATGGCTTGCAGGGTGGCTGTTCACAACAGTTCCTCCTTAAGCAAACTGCTTTGGAGAAAGTTCTTCACTGTCACATGTCTTGGGGGTTGGCCTTTTTCTCCCAGGAAATAGTGATAACATGAGACAGAATGGCCTCAAGTTGTGCTAGGGAGGTTTAGGTTGGATATTAATAAAAATAGTGGCAATATATTGGGACAGGCTGCCCAGGGAGGTGGTGGAGTCACTGTCCTTGGAGGTGGTCAAGAACTGCAGAGATGTGGCACTGAGGGATGTGGTCAGTGGGCATGGTGGGGATGGGCTTGATTTTAGAGGTCTTTTCCAACCTTAATGTTTCTTTGTGAACAGGCAGTGAAGTGAAGCTGCCTTGCAGAACGCTTCCCTGCCTTCTTGTTTGTACTACCAGCAATGTCTGGGCAGAGGTGCAGCACAGGGGCACGGGTTGCCTACCTTTCCAGTGAGTATCTCATAGAACGAGCTCATGACGTGGTTTGAGGGGCAGAGTCTCATGTACTCATACAGGCTGTAAGACCATTCCATAGCAGAGGCATCTCCATACTTCTTCTGGAGGTAGCTGAGAAAGAACTCAGGAAGACTGGAACGCTTTCCTGTCTGCAGATAACAAGTGAGCATCGTGCATGAGCAGCACAACTAAATCAAATCTGCCAGTCTGACTGCAGCTGTTTGCATACAGATGTGTCTTCTGGCAGGACAGGTGCTGGCTGGAGCCTTCCCTGCTATTTGGTCATTCCAAGCCTTTCTTCCAGGTTTAGTCTGTACAATCTAAAAGGTAGGTCTATGAGGAAGCTCTCCTGTTGCCGAGACCACAAATCATCTATTTTCTCCTAGCCCTTTTTGTGAAATACTTAGGAACTTAATACCTGTGAGGTGCTTCCCCTCTATCTGATTTAGCTAAGCTTTGTTCATGGGTTCAGACAACGTGGAGTATTTACTGCAGAGACCTGAAGACAGACAGCAGCCCTGCTTCCCCAGGAATCTAATCTGAAAGTAAAAAGCAGCCATAGGAAACACTAAACTGTTTAGGGCTGACCTAAGGGATGTGTTTAGGCTTCTAGCTCAAGTGAAGAAATCTGTGAAGTGATTCTGCCTCTGTAAAGGTTGCTCTTGTGTCTGAGGCATGGTAACAGGGCATTATACATGTCCCTAACATGAGAAGGTTCAAACACAGGCTCGTTAGCCTCCACCCACTAGTCCCAACCCACCCTGGACAAAAAGGGGAAATTGTCTGCTTTTTTTTGTGTGACAAAACCAAAGCACTTTTATGCTAATTTGCTTAATAAGTGACTTTTTTTTTCTGTTCCTCCTTTTCTGTTCCTCATCTTCATTTCTTGTGGTGCCACTTGTTCCTCTGGAGTTTCATAGTGGATTGGCATGGGTTAAAATCAGTCCCGAAAAACAAAACAAAAAAACCCAAACAATTGACCATGCTTTGGTGGCATAGATATTGCCAGGGCTTCCAAACCTAAGAACAGATGGTACATAGTTGTGATGGCATCCTGGTGTACAGTGCACCAGAACATCCCAGAATAGCAGCAGTCATTCTAGCTAAGGTCTCAGATTCGTGAGTGTGGTTGATTTAGCTCAGGGCTTTAGAGAAGGAAAATGACAAACCTGCTGATCTAGTGCAATTTTCTCTTTCCAGATGTCCTTCAGGATGTTCACCACATCCTTCTTAGTTGGCTTTTTGTTCTTGACTTCACCTTCATACCTCAGGTACACAGGAACCTTGTCACCTTTGCCCTAGGAAATACAAGAGAAACAGATGAGGCCTTCCCCTCGCTGGCATCAGTGCAGCACTGGAGCAACGTTTTGGTGAATTTCTTAGGGAGAGACATGGAAGGACCAAGGCAGTCTTACTCTGTCCCTGAGAAAATGTTTGGATACGTTATGAGGTGAAGATCTCTTGTGGCACTGCCTTGTCCCTGTATCATTTCCTGCCTCTCCTGCTTGTCAGGGTGCAGTGCAATGGGGTGGTGTGGTTTGAATTACCTCCTGATGCCGTGGGAAGGAGTCGTTCCCCACAGTGCACTCCTGCTATGCACTCTTAGTCATTCTGGTGCTTGGCTAAGCTCATCTCAGCAGTTGTCTTTTCCAATCTTAGTGATTCTATGCTTCTATACTTCAGCCGTCCTCGATATGCTTACCCTCAGGTTCAGCTTTTCTCTTGCATCCGAGTTTCCCCAGCTCTAAAATTTTCAGTGGTTATGCTGATGATGGGCGGCAAATACGCTGAGTCCAACCATGAACGCAACCTCCCCACCTTCTGAATGGATATTTACTACCAATGAAGCTCAGTGGAAACAAACAGAGGAGAAAGCATGCGCGTACCCGTCCATGGAAGGCATTCATCTCTTTTAGCACTCCTGTTCCTATCTCCTCCAGAAGCACATCCACCAGCTGATTGCTGCTCTTCCCCTCGGCCAGACGGCCCCACCGCTCCACTCCGCCAGGAATCACATCTGCAACAACAAAAAGATGCTGAGCTGCTCACAGAGGGGCATTTTTCCCGTGAGTGCTGGTTTTGTGTGAGCCCAGTAGGAGCCTTGCAATGAATACAGCTCTATAGACATCTCGTCTGCAAGCAAATGAGTGCTGAGTACAGGCGGCACCTGGACACTTTGCCCAGTTGGGTCGGGGCGTGTGGCTGCGTTCAGCTTCTTGCAGTTGGCTGTAGAAGTTGTCTCGCTCTTCTGCAGTCTCTCTGTGGATTTCCAGCAGTGTTCCATACTCCTCATGGAGCTGCTCAAAATCCTTCCTCAGAGTCTTCACCTAAAGCATACAGAAAGGAGGGCTGTAACCAACCACAGCAGTGGAGATTTTCTGTTGTCTGACAGTTCAGGTGAGCATTCAGTTCAGCACATAGATATACAGAGAGCATTCTCGGTTAGCTGCCTTTAGATTGGATGAAAAATAAACAATTCATTACTTTTTCTTGTTATCATTTCCGGAAACTTCAAATAGAATATATCAGTGATGTTTTTTATGCTGTGTTTTTTGTTTCAAAACAGACCTTAATGCACTAGGAGAGAATGGGAGAGGTGTTCTTGTTTTGTTTTGTTTTTTGTTCTAGAAATGTTATGTGCATTTCCTTCAGATCCATTCATCTTTATTTAGAACACGTTTCCTTTTCATATAATTTATTCTTGTTCGGCTGCAAGAACATCTGCAAAGATGTGGAGTCCTCAGTACAGGAGAGACAGACCTGTTGGAGTGTATCCAGAGGAGGGCCACAAAAATGATCCAAGGGATGGAACACCTTCCTGCGAGGACAGGCTGAGAGCTGGGGCTGTGCAGCCTGGAGCAGAGAGGGCTCCAGGAAGACCCACGAGTGGCCTTTCAGTATCTAAAGGGGAGCTACAGGAAAGAAGTGGACAGAATCTTTAGCAGGGTCTGTGCTGACGGGACAAGGGGAAATGGTTTCAAACTCAAAGACAGCAGATTTAGGTTGGATATAAGGAAAAAGTCATCAGTGAGGGTTGTGAGGAGCAGAGAGAGAAGAATTACAGAGTTGGCCTGGTTCAGTGCATTTCTCTGGTGAAATGCTAAGATACTGATGAGGAGGCCTTGCACAACTCAAAGCCATCCTTATCATCAGACACAACAGGTTCTCCTTGGGAGAGCTTGGAGCTGGAGGGACGGCTTCTATCATGGACAGGTTTCTCTGGCTTGAGGAACCTCCTCTGGTTCTATCACAGCTGGAAAATACATTGACCTGCCTGGTGGTGGAGTCAATGGCCTGGAGTTGCAGCCATGAAATGCTATTGGAGAAAGCAAAATCCAGCAAGGCAGGTAGCTGTTAGCAGCCCGGTTCAGCAGTAGTTTTAGTTTGCTGTGCTTTGGACAAAACTGTGCAGTGAATGTCAGACAAACATAGTTCAAAAGCCTGTATGTGAGTTGCGTGTACAGAGTCCCTGTCCTAACCTAAATACTGATACATCCCATTATCTTTGCACTCATGTGATACAGCTCAAAAATTTGGAGCTTGTGCTGACCTCCTGAAGTAAGTCAGAGTATTTCTTCTCCAGTGATTCAAAATCTCTCCTAGGCACAACGTCTCCGTACTCTGCTGTCATTGCATTCAGCTTCACTTGGGCTTTTGTGAGGTCCTGCCGAGCCATCTTCAGTGCCAGAGTGAGCTTCACCACATCTTCACCCTTTTCACCTTTAAACAACAAGCGTTATGGTTGGAAAAGACCACGAAGATCATCTAGCCCAACTGTCCACCCATGTCCCCTCCTAATCCCTTCCCTATGTGCTTCTGGATATTTTGTTCACTAATTTAGCTTATTTTAAGAGTCAGATCATATCTGATGATATTTTGGAGACGCTTAATGCTGCACCGTGGGTGTGCAATGGGCCTCTGGGCAACACAGATCCCTATAGAGATCTACTTACCACCTTGGACCTGGTGCTGTTTCGTGTCCAGCTGCTCGCTGTGCACCTCATTCAGTTTTGCTACAAGCAGTTTGCGGGCGCCGTACTCCTGGAGGTAGCGCGTGTACTCCTCAGCTACACTCATCTGCAGGTGCTCCACCTGCAGGAATTGATCAGCATCAGTGGGAAGCCTTGGGATGGTGTGGTGAGCCTAGAGCAGGACCATGGGGCAGGTGTGGGGTAAGGGATGTGAAGTAGGAAAAAGAGCAGGAGAGTGGCAAGAAATAACACTGTAGGAAAGGATGGTTAGGGAGAAACATGCCAGAAAGGTTTGGACTCCAGAGAAGGTTGCTGAAGAGTGCTCTATCTGTGTTTTGCCTTTCAGAGAGCGAATTAGATACAGTTCATGCTGAGTTCCAAGGTTTCTCTATTGTAATTCCATCCCCAGAAAAAGCAGCAGGCAGCTTGGAGAGCTCCTGTGATTCTGGTGAGAACTCTGAAGGCAAACCGTGTGCCTCCCCTTCCCCCCAAAAGCAAACTATATGTAAATTCTCAGTTGCCTCAGAGATCGTTCAGTTTATCCCCATGTGAGGCTTGTAAATACCAACAAGTGGAGGAAACAAAGGGAAGTCTAGAAATGCTAAGGGAAGAAATATTTTTGAGTGTTTCAATCTATCTGCTGAAACCCAAGTCTCCAAGGTTCAACAAATGCTATCTCCACGACTGTGGAGTCTACAGTCTGTGCAGAAGCTGGTTGTCTGGGACAGCAGCTACAAGCCAAGGCTTCTGGTAGCAGCACAGCCAGCCCTAAGGGAACACGGATATTCTTGAGATCCAGCATTTCTACAGTGCCAGCTGCTCACCACCAGCTGCAGTACTTCTCCTGGCACTAAAGCATGAGCACCTGGGAGGAAGAGATCAGATGGATCCAGGTGAAGCTGGGAGGAGTTTGACCTGTAGCCTTATTTACCTGAGTCTGAAGAGAACTCTTCTCTTCCTTCATGTTGTCAATAAACTTTAACAAATGATGTTTCTCTTGCTTTAAAGTATTTATTTCCACTTTCTCCTTTTCCTGCAGTGCTAATATCTGCTGGGTGCACTCCTCAGACACGGTGGTGACCATGGCCTTCAAGGGCTCTAGGGCACGGATTGTCTCCTTCTGATGAGCTAAAGAGAGCAGAGGTAAGTTCTTACAATGAGCAACAAAACCTGAATTTTACTTGAATTTTGTCTCCTTGAGTATTTCAGGCTTTGTGGCAATGAACACTGATGATGCCATCATGCTTCACTGGGTTGTCATCATTTAAGCACAGGCAGCATACAGAGCTGAAGATAGCTGCTAATTAGTGGTTTACCTGGCTTTGTAAAGGCATGGTCTTCACAAACTTAGATTGGCTTTCTTGTCTCCAAATGCAAGGCCTTGTGCCACCTGTGTACAAACTTGTCTACACACTCTCCTCTCTTTTCAGGGACATGTTGCCCTCTCTTCATTTCTCTTTTTCATCAGCACAACTAATAAAGAACTCATTATATTGGCTTTGCTGCCATCTGTGCTTTTCACTCTCAACTATTTCCCCTTTGAATTGATTATTTTTCCTAAAGGCACTTATCTGAGGGGATTGGTGTGAGTGCTTGGGTGCCAGATCCCAGTCACGTGGTAGAACTCCACCTGTCACCACCTCCTTGTTGTGGAAGCTTGCTTTTATGACTAAATGAAATTCCACCACAAGAAGATGTAATTCAAATGAGGCTGTGGCAAAGGTTTTCCTTGCTGAATAATGCATACATTCTCTCTCCTGAACAGGATAGAAATGCTGGCAGATACTGAGTAATGTCACTTGCAGACATTTTCCTCTTTGCCAGAACTCTAATATAAAGTATTCATGTACAAATACCATGCAGCAGACTCTGTATTTTAAAACCTAAAATGCATGCATAAATCTAAAAACAGGAATGACTTTTCTTATTATAGTTGGGTGTGAGTTTCCTTCCTGTGCTGTAACTGTACCAAAGGTTTTTGTGAGCTCTTTCACTATGACACTGGTACCAGGCCAGCTCCCCAGAAGATGGCAAAAATGAGAGCACTAGCATAGCTCACTTGGTGTGAACAAAGAACACTATGTTGTGTCATTGGAGTGTTTCACAACTGGCTGCTGACCACTTGGCAAGGAGGAGTCAATAAAACATCTCGAGTAGAAAATATGCTTAAAGAAAGATAATAATAATTGAAAAGTAAGCTTCAGCACAATACAGGCTATGGAACTGACACTAGTAATCCCCTGGGAGCTGAAGGAATATCTTCTGAAGAGTTCCAGAAGGAAACTGTTAGTAAAATGTTCTGACGTAACGATTAATATTGATTCATTGATCTTGCACTGTGCAAAGATTTCTGCCTACAGTGAGGGACTATCAGTAGGCAGTCAGGTCACAGCTACTGGGATAAATGACACATTTTATTGGAGAAACTGTCCCGTTAGAAAAGTGTTGACAGCTGTAGGCTGCTCAGTGTGACAGGAGTTCCCAGTGAGAAGCTATTTCTAGTGCACTGTTTACAAAGCACTGCTATCACTGTGGCATCTGAGAGCCAAGAGGGGTTTAAAGGCACACCACAAATGGACAGGGAACAGCCAGTTCAGCTCTCTGCCCTGCCCTGCTTCAGGAGTAATGCAAGCTTCAAGTTACCACTGCAAGTGCATCCAAATATATCAGTATGATATACTCTGCTATCAGCATGGTGGTTTCAGAAAAGCTGAGGTACGGATGTTGCCTGAACTGTGTGTGTGGTGAAGACCGTAAGGATAAATAACTACAGAAAAACCTTCAATCTAAATAATAAAGGTCTGATAAACATATATATAGAAACACCTGTTATGTATGAGGGAAGTAGACTCCCATGGGGGAAGATTTCATTAACAGACCAGGAAGGTAGTTTTACCATTTGACATGTTTGTATGTCCCTCAAAGAGAACTATTCTATGTGAATATTTAGAATGTTCATTCTATATATATATATATCTCCAATATGTAATTAGCTGTGTAAGACTACATCTCCATCAGTGTTTTCCCCTCAGAGATCAAAGTCCAAGAGCTTACCCAGTGTGGCTTCATACTCATTCTTTATAGCTGACAGCAAGGGCTTGTAGGTCTTGAAGTTATCTATGAAGAATTCAAAGATCTCTCTGTAGGGCTGAGAGAGGAAAGAGAGCTTGAGAAAACATTGTTGTTCATTTCTCAGAATTCAGATAGTTGGGCCCTGATGGGACAGCCCATGTGCCATCCTCAGCAGAGTAAAACTTGTTTGGGGGGACAGTCAGAGTGCCATGTTGTGTGTGAGCCTGGGAAGGCTTTGCTAGCAATAGTAATGTTCTCACTGAGCGTACCTCACTGCTGAATGCAACTAAACATGTCGTGTCATCCAGTAAAAAAGTACTTTCCAAGAATAACGCATTCATGAAACCTCTGTTTTCTCTTGCTGTTAATCACCCATCAGTAATCAGTTGATTAACTGACAGTTGGACTTGATGATCCTAGCGGTCTTTTCCAGTCCTAAAGATTCTGTGGTTGTTTCCCTCCATTCTTTTCCATTTACCACATTCCTTTCTTATCACTACGGGATTCCTCTGGGAATTAGAATTCATGCAGAGAAACTCTAATCCAAATGTGTCACTCAGCATAAATGCTCTGATTGTGTTTTGAATTAAAGTGGTTTTCAGTGTCTTCAGTAGCTGTATTCTCAAACGTTCACAACAAACCCCCAGGGGCAGGCCTGATAAAAACTTAATTTTGGGGATCCTGGTTAAGCAAAAGCTTGACAAGGAGCCCCATTCTTGTCATGTGCAGAGACATAATTATGGAATCATAGAATGGCCAGGGTTGGAAGGGACTGCAAGGATCACGAAGCTCCAACCCCCTGCCACACGCAGGGCCACCAACCTCCACACTTAATGCTTCACCAGGCTGCCCAGGGCCCCATCCAACCTGGCCTTGAACACCTCCAGGGATGGACGGGGCATCACAGCCTCTCTGGGCAGCTGTTCCAGCACCTCACCACTCTCATAGCAAAGAACTTCACAAATGAAAGCTTTTGAAATGAAAATTTTGGAGCCTACACCTTGCTTTATGGTTTAGGCAGGAGTCTTTGGGAGCTCAGTGAGTAAGTAGTTTCACACCCCCTTCATTTTACCATGTCTTTTTGAAGGCTTGGGCTTTGATTTGAAAATGGAAAGTTACACAAGCTGTGGAGCATACTACTCAACAACATATAAACCCAATGTACGAACAAATGACATTCTGAGTAAGTTCTCTATTGTGAGCTGTGAACCAGGCTATCTCATACAAACTATATTTGCCTACTTTTCCCACCTACTTTTTCCTTTGGATGACCATTTTGAGTAACCCATCTCAGTATGTTGTTCCAAGTCAACAGAAACTTGGATCTGACCTGCAGCTTCAGTTCCTGGGAGATCCCTTTAGTCAGGGCAAGAGTCTGCAGCTCTTTCCTTAAGTAAGACTCCAGTTGTTCCAGGTGACGTGGCTTTGGAATGGTAAGAAGGGCCTGTTCATTGCTGCAGAGACACAGGAGAATGGACATCAGCTCAAGGACTCGGGTTTTGTTCCTACTGCCCGCTGCTACCAGTCAGAACCAATAATGTTATTTTTTATGCTCAAGTTTTATGGGGTAAGCCAACCTCTTTGTTCTCAATGCTGGGAGAGATCCTGCTCTGTAAATTCCTTGTTTCCAAACCCTGCTTCTAGCTGTCCTGTGGCTTAGCTTACCTAGGTGTTCTCTCCTCTGGGGCACTGCAGGGTTTGTGATTCCTTAGGACTGTCTGGCCGGCTGCAAATGCGGGCCACATGGACCATTGGCCTCTAACAGAAAGCTGGAAAGACTGGAGAGAGAAAGAATTATGTTTGAAGAGCACTGCAAACACAAAAGAGAGCCAAAATGAGGCTGAAATATCCCCGACAATGCCTCACAGTCAATCTAACTGCCCAGCAGGACGGTGGGACAGAAATACAACCTAAATGCAAACGGAAACAAAACATGTGACTTTTGTGGACCTTAACCACTCAGCAGTTGGTTGCTACGTGCCTTCCTTATGCATACTTATTTATGCATAATTTGGATATAGTTTTCACCACGCTACTTTGTCTACTGACACACACTATGGAGCAGGCGTTCCTGAAGGCTGGAAGATGCTCTAAACAACTTTTTTTTCTTCTTTATTTTGGACTATATGTGTCAAAATCTGGCTTTAGCATCTGGCATACACATCCACAGCAGCTGTCGCAGCCAAGAACAGTGTTTATATTCCACTCCTCTTCCCTCCACCCTTAAAACCTGAACTCACCAGAGCCTTCTGTTTCTTGGACAGGGTAGGTTTTACACTGCAGATGTGTGTTTGGCAATTGGTAATCTTCGAGGAAGATTCAGGAGAGGTCCTGTGCAACAGCAGGGAAGAGACTTTTCAAAAGCCACAGAATTAACTGAATATTCTGTTGGAGGTTGTGAATCTGGGTGATGTATAACTAAAGTAGCTAGTTGTGATGTGCCTGATGGGTGGAAAAAACCAACAGGGTGATGTAGACAGAGCAATGAGGAGATTTGTGGTACAGCTGAACACCAGAACTGGCACAACAGAATCATAGAATGGCCCAGGTTGGAAGGGACCTCGAGGATCACGGAGCTCCAACCCCCTGCCACACGCAGGGCCACCAACCTCCACATTTCATAGCAGCCCAGGCTGCCCAGGGCCCCATCCAACCTGGTCTTGAACACCTCCACGGATGACATTAACATCTTTATCAATGACAGAGTCAGCAAGTTTGCTGACGACACCAAGCTGAGTGGTGCAGTTGACATAGTGGAAGGATGGGATGCCATTCAGAGGGACCTCAACAGCCTTGAAAAGTGGGCCTGGGTGAACCTAATGAGGTTCAACACAGCAAAGTGCAAGGTTTTGCACTTGGGCTGGAGGAATTCCAGGCATCCACGCAGACTGGAAGGAGCTCCTTGAGAGCAGCCCTGCGGAGAAGGACCTGGGGATCCTGATGAATGAAAAGCTTAACATGAGCCAGCAGAAAGCAAATGGAATCCTGGGCTCCATCAGCAGAGGGGTGGCCAGCAGGGACAGGGAGGTGATTGTCCCTCTCTACTCTGCCCTTGTGAGGCCCCATCTGCAGCACTGTGTGCAGGTCTGGAGCCCCCAGTGCAAGAAAGACAGAGAGCTGTTGGAGAGAATCCAGAGGAGGGCAAAAAGATGATCAGAGGGCAGGAGCACCTCCTGTACAAAGACAGGCTGAGGGAGCTGGGCTTGTTCAGCATGGAGAAGAGAAGGCTGCGGCATGACCTCATTGCAGCCTTCAGTACCTACAGACAGAAGGGGAATCAACTCTTTGGAAGGGCAGATAACAGCAGGACAAGGGGAAATGGTTTGAAGTTGAAGGAGGGGAGATTGAGGTTGGATGTCAGGGGGAAGTTGTGTCCTATGAGAGTGGTGAGGTGCTGGAACAGCTGCCCAGAGAGGCTGTGATGTCCCGTCCATCCCTGGAGGTGTTCAAGGCCAGGTTGGATGGGGCCCTGGGCAGCCTGGCCTGGTATGAAATGTGGAGGTTGGTGGCTCTGCATGGCATAGGGGGGTTGGAGCTTCGTGATCCTTGCGGTCCCTTCCAACCCTGGTCATTCCGTGATTCTGTGACATTGGGTGCTTTGCTCCTTGTGGCAGTGAGAGCAGCCGAGCTGAGCCCTTTGCTGGGCAAACCTGAGTGAGCTGATCTTCTGAAGAGGTGAGGTTTGAAACAGAGCTGGAACAGTGCTGTCTGAGTCAGGAGCTGGGACTTGGGATCCCAAAAATGCCCGCGAAGCTGCTTCTCTGGGGTGGCCATAGTGCTGGCCAGCAGAACTGGCAAACCATGGAAAAAATACAGCCAGGACTAGGCTTTCCTAGAAGCAGGTGGCTGTAGGAGAAAGGCCTTTCAATGAGCGAACCTACACTCACGTCGGTGCCCGGCCGCACCCAGCCGATTCCCTCCCTTGAGATACGTATCAGCGCCGATACAATCCCCGCCCGCCGCTCCCCGGGCAGCACAAAGCGGGGCTCTCAGCTCCCCACGTACGAGAGATGCCCCGCAGGTCGGATCGCCGCGCTCTGCCGCTCACCGCCTCTCAGCCCGCCTTGCCGCCATGCCCCGCGGTGCCGCCTGTTTACGCCCGTCGCCATGGAGACGGCCGCCTCAGGACCCCCCGCCCGCCGCCATAGCTGCCCGCGCCGCGCCTGACGCCGTTCGCCGCTCTCACCGCGGCCCGGCCCCGGTCCAGCGACGGGTGAGCTATGCGAGGCGGCCTCGATCGGAGCGAGGCCGTCCGAATAGCTCCGTTCGTCCGTCTGACCGGGCGGCCGAAACCGGGCCCTGCGCGGAGGCGGCGCGGCGGACACCGGCGGCGGCGCGGCGGCCTCTCGGCCGCCCCTCGGCGCCTCGTTGCCCCGAGGCATTCTGGGAGCGGGAGTCCTGAGCGCGGCCCGACGCCGCTCGGCCCCGCGCAGAGGAGACACGTTTCCCACAGCACGGCGCGCTGCGGGAGGGGGCGTGGCCTCACGCGCGGGGCCTATCGGTACTTGTAGTCCCAGCGACTGCATACGGCGGGCGGGAGGTGGCGGGTCGGACTCCGCTTCCCGTCGGGCAGCGCGGCCCCATTGTGGGCACGCTAGCAGCCCATTGGCCGGCGGCGGGAGCCGGGCTTCGCTCCCCGCCCGGTGACACAAAGCGAATCCAAGATGGCGGAGGCGGGCGCGGGGAGCCCGCACGGGGGGGACGCGGCGGCTCCGGGGCCGCCCGAGGAGCAGGAGCTGAGCCGGCGCCTCCGCCGCCTTTACCCGGCCGTCAACCAGGAGGAGACGCCGCTGCCGCGCTCCTGGAGTCCCAAGGACAAGTACAACTACATCGGCCTCTCGCAGGGCAACCTGCGCGTCCACTACAAAGGTGCCGGGTCGCGGCGGCTCTGCTCGCGTTCCCTCGGCCGGGACGGGACCGGCCGGCTCCGCTACCCTGGGGGGAAAGGTTGCGGGGTGCCGGGCTGTGGGAGCGGGGCTCGGGGAGGGCGGGGGGGGCTGAGGGCTGCGGGACGAGGAGCCGTCCCGGCGCTGCGGGGTCGGGCATCGCGGCGATGCGGCCCTTCCAGGCGCTCCCTGCCCTGCACGGCACGGCGATGCCCCTTTCCTGCCCGCTCGGTAAACACTGATGTCATTCCCCTCTTGCGTAATGGAGCTGCGTGCCGCTGCTGTGCGGCGCTGGGATGGCAGCTCTGCGATGGCGGCACCGTGTGCCCCGCCGGGTTCCTTCCAACGGCGACAGCGACGGGGGTTCCTCGGGAAGGAGGGTGGCAGAGCTGCTCTGCTGCTTTCAGTGCGATGAAAACACTCCAGTCGTTTTCAGGTGGAAGGAGAAGCCGCCCCTCAATCTGCGCGGCAGATCCCGGTGTCCCAGCGCTGACCCTTCTCTTCTTTCCCAGGTCATGGTAAGAATCACAAAGACGCCGCCTCGGTCAGGGCCACGCATCCCATCCCTGCAGCTTGTGGCATTTATTACTTCGAAGTGAAGATTGTCAGTAAAGGCAGAGATGGGTGAGTGCCTTGAGTACCTGCCTGCAATTCCGTCTGGTGTTGGCCATCCCGCTGCACTGCTGCCTTCCCAGGGCCGTGCCTTCAGTTCAGCATTGCAGTGGTTGACTCGTGGGGAAGTTCCGTGTTGTGGTACATGTAATGCAGAGGCATTCAGACATTTCTGTTACCTGCAGTTTGCTATGAGCAGTTACATCAATGTTAGAAATTCAGGGTGTCACTTGCAATGTGAATTATGGTATTTTTTTCCCCTTGCTGGCTGGGTCTGGACACTTCAAACCCTGGAATTACAAAGAATTATGGCACGATAGGGGTTGCCTGGGAACCTAGCCCTCGGTCCTAGAATCGCTTCCATTGGAAGGGCCCCTTAGAGGCCATCTGGTCCCAGTGAGCAAAGACACCCACAGCTCCATCAGTGCTCACAGCCCCGTTCCCTGACCTTGGCTGTCTGCAGGGATGGGGCAGCAGCAGCTCTCTGTGCAGCCACTGCCTCACCAACCTTAGTGTAAAGGACTTCCTATCTCCAATCTAACCTGGAGAGCTCTTTCAGTTTGAACCCATCTCCTCTTGTCCTTTGCCAGCACCAAAGAGTCTGTGCCTTTCGAGACAGATGGAATTAACAATATAAGGATTTCACTTTTGTTAGTTTTCTACTGCAATATGGAGGTAAATATGGTGAAATGTGCTGAAATGTGGGCAGGCTTCAAAGCGAGCAATTCTGAAGACAGGTGAGGATGAGAGCCACCAATCACTGAGTTCCTCTGCCTGAACCCTTGGTCAGGTGATGACACATGGCTGTTTTCATTAATCTATCTCATGAGAAAAAAATGTAGGACTCGGGATCTAACCAGTGGGTGCTGTGTTCTAAGTCATCATGAGCTGTGATCCAAACAAGATGTGCAATGAAGAGGAAAGGGAGGGACCTGGAAATTAATTTAGGATTGTTGGGTGTTTGCATGGGGAAGAGGAGTCATAGTGTTACTTGAGCACTGGAAGGAGAACTGAGACTGTTTTTTAGAAGCTTCGTATCCATGATGAACATAAAGATTCTTTTATAGAGGGGAAACTGTAGTGTTTGTGAATAGAGGCTGGGATCTGTGAAACTTAGACTGTTTCTAGTCTAAGTCCTGAATTTGGACTTGTCATTCAGGGTAGATTATTACTACAGAGCACTGTGACACACCTGTGCAAGCTTGGGAGACAGAGCTAGAACTAGAATGCTAAATATGCATTCTGGTCATTGTTCCCCACCAAAACATGCTCTTTTTGTGGCACTTAGTATTGTAGGCTGTCTTGTTGATCTGTACTGCTTCGAGGGGAAGAATTGTGAGAGCAGCAAACCCTGCTGGTGGCATTAGGAGCAGCCGTGCTCCACCAAGAGGTGCCTCGCTGACCTGGTGGTGAACGTTGCATCCCACCTGGTCCCGTGGTCGCTCTGTTGGGTGTTACTTTGTTCCAAAATGCAGCTGGTCCAGGATGTCCTTGGTGGAGTTCCTTTAAAACCATATTTGGGATGATGGGAAAGCAATAAATAAAGCGTTTCTAACGAGGTTTGGGCTTCTGCTGCTGGTGTAGATTAATTTTTAATCACTGTAAAGATATTAACCTGCTGTGTGAGCCCATGTATAGTTTTTTCCTTGCTAAAGGATGAATATTGCAGCTGCAGCCATCCAGAAGGTAAAGCAGCACTGGGAAAGGTCTTGAGTGCAATTGATTAATCCAGTGCTATAAGAATCACATTTGAACTGGGGCCTCTGCAGGGCTCTTAAGGAGGGGCAGCAAGCGTTCCTGCTGGGAACCAAATTGCAGCCACTGTTGAAATCCTTTTGTGTCATTATTAACTTCAGAATTGGTCTATTTGAAAAGAGTTTTGGAAAAGATCTTCACTTGTGTTGCACTGATTGCAGTAATTGCAATAAAGTATAAAGGGTTATCTGTACAAGGATGAATGCTGGGCTGAGTGACCCTTGTTTTTTCTTTCTTTTTCCTTCTTTTTCTTCATTTACTTTTTCTTCTTATTTTTCTTCATTTACTTTCCAGGAATTCTTTGGGCTGTAAGGAATGGTTTGTGTTAGCTCTGTGGCAATACAGATGTGGTGTGAAGTCAGTGCAGCAGGGAGCTGTGGAGAGCTTGACTGATGTCCCAGCCACTCCTGTGCCTTGTTTTGCTTCTCCTGATAGAGAGAGTTCTTTATCTTGGGCACTGTGGAAATGAGGTTTTGTAATTGTGACTTCAGGTGACAGGCAGTGGCTGTAAATATAAAGCTCACTCTTGTATGTCTGATATTTAGTAGTTTAAAGTCAGCCCATTGGGGCCTGGTGTGTTGTAATACTGAACTGTGTCACAGGCATTTCTGTTCTTAGGAAGCTCTCTGCTATTTATTGCACTGTGGTGGCTTCAGTTAAAGGAATAAAAGGCCAGAAAGCTAGAGAAGGCATTGGAAAGGAAGTTTTCAAGTGTCATAAGGTCTGTCCCTAGGAGCTCAGCTGGAGGCCCTCTAGCAAGGGGAGGGGAAGAGGAGTGTGGCTGCATTTTCAGAATAGGTTCATTGGGCATCAAGTCTGCTTTGTAGCTTGTCCCACATTGGTGCTGCTTGGAACGACGAGGTATGGATTCGCTGTGTCTCTGATGCTGGAGTTTGGGATGGCTTTTCACATTTAGATTTAAAACGTGCACTCTCAGGCTGCTGAAAAGACTTCCTCAAGTAGCCTAGGTGCTGGCAGTGCTAATGTACAACAGAAAGAATTGTAGAAGCTCCCAGTGACTTTGAGTGGAGACGTAACCTCAACCTGATGACTTGCTGGCAGTCTGAGATGGTGCTTTTATGGGGTATGTCCTCCTACCAGGCCACAACGTGCAACGAGTCCATTTGGTGCACTTAAGAAACTTGTAAGAGTTATCAGCTTCTCTTCCACTGCTCAGGCAGTGAGATGTGGACAGCCTTCACTGAGCTGAAGAAAGATGACTGGGTCTTGCTTTTGGCTGAGCAGTGGTCGGTTCTCATATTGATGGTTTTAGTCTTTGCTGTTGAGACAACACATTTGTCTGTTGGTTTTGTTTTCCTTTTGCTAAAGGAGAGGCTGGCAGATTACCACTGAGGAGCTGTCTGGGAAAGGGAGTTGGATTCTTCACGTAACAAACCAGATCCATCTGTGTGTGGGTCTGTGGTTTGTGATACCGTGTTTGGGGAGGTGGTTCTTATCCTCAGAATGGAACGCAGTTTGCAGCCCCTCGGTTAGCTGCAGCCCTGTTCTCACCTCCCTGTCTGCCATGAGCACAAAGGAAGCAGTTCCATGCCACCTTCCCTTTGCCTTGTGTGTGTGCCTTCTCTCATGCCCACAGCCTGTTACTCAGTCTCGTGGGTCAAGAAGATAACTGGTTGAAAACTGGCCGCATCACAGCAGCTGCAATGATTTAATCTGTTGACGTCAGGGTCAGAAATCACTGCTTTTTTTTCCCTCTCCAATAAGGGAGCAGGGTTCTACTTTCAGATGGAGGGTCAGAGTCAGCCCTCATGGAGATCAATTCAGAGAGTTGAAGTGTTTTCATAGAATCACAGAGTCATGAAGGGTGGAAAAGACCTTCCTGACCATCGAGCCCAATCCATCCCACTGTGCCCACTGCCCACATCCCTCAGTGCCACATCCCCACGGCTCTGGGACACCTCCAGGGATGCTGAATCCCCCACCTCCCATGGCAGCCCATTCCAATGCATCACCTCTCTTTGAGAGAAGAAATTGCTCC